AGGGATTTTGGGGGATGTGGTTACATGTCTAACAATAGCCTTGTTATGCAATGGCAGGTACACCTGCTGGACCCGTGACCATGACATGAGAGAGAGATAGAGGGAGGAATGAAGGGAAGGAGAGAGAGAGAGGTAGAGGGGGAGAGGACTAGAAAGAGGGATGGGGTCAGATGATAGAGTGAGAGAAAGAGGGGGAGAGGGATGATCCAAAGCTAGCTGTATTGATGAATCAGTTTGTTTCCCTAGCCACACACAGCTGGGGACTATATCAGGGTTGGATGTCTGGCTGACAGGAGGACTGGCTGACAGGAGGACTGGCTGACAGGAGGACTGGCTGACAGGAGGACTGGCTGACAGGAGGTCTGGCTGACAGGAGGACTGGCTGACAGGAGGACTGGCTGACAGGAGGACTGGCTGACAGGAGGACTGGCTGACAGGAGGACTGGCTGACAGGAGGTCTGGCTGACAGGAGGACTGGCTGACAGGAGAACTGGCTGACAAAGCTCTCCATAGAGCAGGGTCCTGGAGGGCCGAAACACCTCAGTTTTTCATCCTCTCCTTCTAATCAGGGGCTAATTCAGACCTGGGACACCAGGTGAGTGCAATTAACTACCAGGTAGAAATAAAAAACAGAAGTGTTTCGGCCCTCCAGGACCGGAATTGAAGAACCCTGCCATAGAGAATACAGAGGGTGATGAGAACAACACTCAGCCAGTTTCACTGAGACACTTCACTGACCAACACAGAGGATCAGCTAGAACATTCAACAAAGGACAACACGTGTCCATCCATACCCCTCCACAAAGGGTTAACATATTAATCATACAGCAAATCAAAGAGGGGGGGGGGATAAAGGAACACAAACACACGTGAGTGAGTCTGACCCCCTCCCCCTTCTATTCATCTGTATAAGCCCACTCATTTATGTGATCAGTCATACAGGCCTCTCCCTTTAAGAGAACAGTACATCCATGTGCGCAGGGCACCGGCACCTCCATATGTATGCATAAAGCATGGATGGGTCCATGGGGAATGGGAAAAGCCTTTCAGAACCTGGTCTTGTTAGGGCTGTGTGTATTGTCAGCCTTCAGATCAACCTGAACTGGGATTTTTCTCCATTCATTCTATTTCCAGATCTCAACATGTGAATTCAACTTCCTCTGAGATGGATCTCAGAGGTTTCTCTCTCTCTACCCGTCTCTCTCTCCCTACCCATCTCTCTCCGTCTCTTTTGGTGTGTCTCTCTCTCCGTATCTCTCCCTTTCTGCCTCAGATTTTGGAACTTCTGGGTGTGTGTTGGCTGGGCAGTTGACTGTGATCTCTGCAGTGATGTGAAACCACAGCAACACATGGACTCAGTAAATAGACCCCGATAGCCCCCCCACCCCTCCGACACACACACTCCATTTAGAGTCCAGCTAAGAGAGCAGCCATCACCAGAGGAGGGAAAACTAAATATTTTCTTCTCTCTCACTCTGACCAGCATACTGCTTCACCTTGTGCGGCTCTCCTTCGATCCTGTCTCCAGTCTATATTTTTAGCAGCAAAACAAAACAAACAATCTAACCAAACCTCTCAAAAGGATACAGGTACACATATTTCTGACGATATATCATATTGCATTGTTTTGACAATGTCACAATATTATTTTTGAGCAAGTTGGCTGTACCTGCACCAAAACTCTAATATTTTTCCTTCATAGCTTGTTCTTTATCTTCTTTTAAAATAAGGAGCCAATTTGTTTTCAGCACTTTTATTTCCATGACTGATCCAAACTTGTTTTCTCATGACTCTCTCTTGTCCCTCTGCAGCAGACATATGGTGAGCAATATGTTTGGAACATCGAATCGCAATAAAATCACAGTATCGAATCGTAATACACATAGAATCATGAGAATCGCAATACATATCGTATCGGCACCAAAGTATCGTGATAATATCGTATCATGAGGTCCCTGGCAATTCTGAGCCCTAACAGGCAGTGAATGAGAGTGCAAGATTTATTCCTCATTTTACTGGAGGGCCAAACACTGCTCTGGACCTGAAAATCATCCAGCCCATCTAACACCAAACCCACCTCTCCTCAGAGTCTGGAACTGCCTAGAAGGAAAGGACAATGCAGTCAATTCACGTGTTTCTACACTTTCTTTTTGCTTTTGCCCCTTACACTCGTGAAAATTGGCCTATATGGATAGGGCCAAATCGAAATGTTTCTTACAGAAGAACTATAAAAAGCATATGCATGACCATGGTAGCAACACTTTGGAGATTATGGGGAAATGATCAGACCAAAAGGTAAGGACACAACAGTTCACCTGACACAAGGCTGAATCCAAACATTACACTGTTGATTTTATGTGCATTTTACATTTACTGTACTTTTCACAGCATTTGTCAATAACAAAATCTGAAAATACTCTGGATACATTCAGTAACATAATAAGAATATTAGTTGACATTTTGGAGTAGGTGCAAGATAAGAAAAAAATATTACAAGGGTTTGAGTGAGAGGTCTAACTGGAGTCTCCAAGTGTCCACACACCTCTCCAAACTGTGCACAGTTCAGTAATTTCAATGCACTTTCATGACTTAAGGAAAGAGCCTTCAAGGTGCATTTTTTAGCTCTGCCATTGACGAAATGAAGCAAGCACACTTGTAGTTGTTTTGTTTGGAACACAGCCCTGTGTCCACACAATCATACAATTACTGTTGTTGTTTACGCAATCCAAAAACATTCGTTTATAGAATCACAATCTGGATCAGGTGGGTCATTATTTTGAAAGCGTATTGTATTGGCAACATTGCTAGCTAAGTTATAAAATATGCTCTTACAGTGTTAGGCTTTCAAACGGCATTTCAGACAAACAGATTGTAATTTTGGTGCGCATCGAATGGTCATGAGTGCATTCAAGTGCGTATTCCGTGGGACATTTTCTTCACAATAGGACAAACATAGGCTCATTCTGTTCAGGACAACCCAGAGTATAACGCATGTCATCCTTGTAACTGTGGATCAAATATGGAAATGTGAAATACACATTTGGAGTCACGGGTGTAACCCTCACGTCTCATCTTTTAGAACACATCGACTCCTCTCGATTTCCACATTTCCCTCACTCAGACAACAAATGTACAAAAGTAGCATGTTCTTGTTGAGCGCGGTGCACAAGTTTATAACGACTGTCAGTCAAAACCCATACAAGTGTGCTTGCGTAATTTCCTCAAGCGGAGAACATGAGCGCTGATGTCACGTATAGCATGTTACTGTACAGCCACTGCGTTCCAATTTAGGCGCTTACCAATGACAAAATCTGCCATTTTCAACCCATGTACGGGATGACGGGAGTAGTGAGTGGAAAGGACTACTGGAAAAGGAAATTAAATTAGGATAAATGTGATCATGCTTGTACTGCGAGCCTGTGAGTGTAGTCTGTCCTCGTGTATTATCATCCCCTCCATGCCTAAGTCAATGGGTGAGACAGGTCTCAAGGGGGATGAGGCTGTGGATGGAGGGAGTGGGGTGCCAGGGAAGGAGGGGGAGATGGATAGAAAGCAAACACAAGGATCCAGCAGCAGCATTTTGCCGTCCCTCTCTCCCAATTTCTCAAGCAAGAATTTTGCTAGGACTGTCTGGGAGTGGTCTGAGTGAGGCGGGGAAAAACTGAAAACTAGCTGGTATTGGTTTGGAACGCTCTTTCTTATTGGTCTATTAACTAGTGGTGATGTCACCAGGCAGGCCAAAACTTCATCCCACCAAAAAATGCAGAAATGTCAGGGTGCTTTAAAAACAGCTCTCACACGAAAAGGGCTTTATCATAATTTTCACAATTTCACAGTATTATTCCAACCTCAGAGTGTGGAAATATATATAAAACACAGCAAAATCATGTTTTTGACTACACTGGGCCTTGAATATTTTTGGGGGAACAACTTGGTTACCATTGGTGCTTAATATGAGGGTTTCAGTATGAAATATCATATATATATATTTATTTTTTATACACTTTATTTTACTATGTCAATATTTATTTGTTGTAAATGTTTTGGTGCCAAACCGGTGGCAGTAGTGAAAAACGTCAATAGTTGGAAAAGTTGCAGAGTTAATTGAAAATATTTCCATTGTTGATCAGATGCTTTTTTCATCGGGCAATTTTTCTCTTGAACCATATGGTTTATCCACTAGAAACTCATGGACAATATCGACACAGATATATAACAATTAATACTATATAAACATTTTAAAAAAAAAGTTAAAAGTATAAATGACCAAAGTTACCATAGATTAGCTGTTAATTACCAAAATTAGCAAAGATTGCTGTAACCTTTATAAATTACCAGTAGCTTTGCAACCCTATTCCCAGGAGACTGTTAGTCATACGCTTTCATAAGATGGTGTGTGTGTGTGTTTGTGTGTGAGTGTGTGCGTGTGTAGCACACATTACTTTAACACGTGTTGGAGTGCTGGCACTTCTAAACCCCTGGTTCACAGCGCACTGGGGTGGGTCAGAAGTGGGCACGGGAGCAAGAGGCTACACTAATGAGAGGCTACACTAATGAGAGAATAACACTGATGAGAGAATAACACTATTGAGGCTAGACTGATGAGAGAATAACACTGATGAGGAGGATAGAGGGAGGTGATGGACAATAAGAAGAAGAAAGAGTGGGAAGAAATTGTGGAGAGGCAGGCAGCACGAGAGGCAGGCAGCACGGGAGGCAGGCAGCACGGGAGGCAGGCAGCACGGGAGGCAGGCAGCACGGGAGGCAGGCAGCACGGGAGGCAGGCAGAACGAGAGGCAGGCAGCACGAGAGGCAGGCAGCACGAGAGGCAGGCAGCACGAGAGGCAGGCAGCACAAGCCCCTTTGGGACCACTTAGAAAGGAATGTGTTATTAAATTTTTCCAGAGTCGGCTGAAAAGGCCTGTATCCATCCGTTCATTCGAATAATATTAGACAGTGTACTTCTGTGTGTGTTTGTGTGTTAAACACTCTACTTACACGTTGATGGCGTTCTCCAGGGCTGAGGGTTCGGTTCTCTCCAACTTGTGCTGGTTCTGGCCCAGATAGGCAAACCTGTAGAACGACACAGACAGTGTTTAAACAGCCGATCACCAGGGAGACCCAAACATCACCAAACATTTCAGATAACATAAGCAGCATCACACCTCTTTTTTTTAGACACCACTGTATCAAATATTTAACATTGAATTAGGAAAACTACACTGCTTGTCAAACATCTCATTCCAAACCAAAAGTAACATTGAAAAATAGTCATCAATATATATAAAAACACAGAATCCCAAACACCAAACATAATGTTCATAAATCTGAGTTGACAAAACAGGACATTTCTGGATCTGCTGGACGGGGAGTTGAACTCGGCGCCGTGGACACTTACGACGAAGAATTACAAATAAAAAAAGACAAAACATAAAATTGCTTAAATAGCATGGCTTCTTTGAACAATTCTCCACCCCGCTTTCACAATGGAAACACCAGAAAACACACACTGGAGAAAACCCTTGAATGGGGTCGTTATACATTAATCTATTCTTTGCTACACTGAACAAAAATATAAAACACAACATGTAATTATACTTTTTTTAAATAGAGAAATTATAGAAAATTAAAAACACTTCATAACAAATACACAATGAGTAAGTGTGGATGTGCAGGGGTACAAGGTAATTGAGGTTGATACAGTATGTACATATAACTAGGAATAAAGTGACAGATAGTAAACAGTAGCAGGAGCGTATGTAATGAGTCCAAATAGTTTGTTGATGTGTGCCATGACCAGCCTTTCAAAACACTTCATGATTACAGATGTGAGTGCTACGGGACAATAGTCATTTAGGCAGGTTACCTTGGAGTTAAATAAAGGTATTCTCAAATCAAATTGCACTAAACTGTGAGAATACTTGAGCCTTACTCATCTCTAGAGAGAAGTATATCTACAACTACTGTGTTTCACACTTTTATTGATGTCTCTAATTAAGTCAAACTCAACTTGAGGAATGCATGGTTCTCTATGCATCTGGATTCTGTACGTAAAGTCAGTCCACTAACTTGGCTATACGTGTTTCATGTTATACAGTACCAGTCAAAAGTTTGGACACCTACTCATTCAAGGGTTTTTCCTTATTTTTACGATTTTCTACATTGTAGAATAAGAGTGAAGACATCAAAACGATTAAATAACACATATGGAATCATGTCGTGACCAAAAAAAGTGTTAAACAAATCAAAATATATTTTATATTTGAGATTCTTCAAAGTAGCCACCCTTTGCCTTGATGACAGCTTTGCACACTCTTGGCATTCTCTCAACCAGCTTCATGAGGTAGTCACCTGGAATGCATTTAAATTAACAGGTGTGCCTTCTTAAAAGTTAATTTGTGGACTTTCTTTCCTCTCTTAATGCGTTTGAGTCAATCAGTTGTGTTGTGACAAGGTAGAGGGGGTATACAGAAGATAGCCCTATTTGGTAAAAGACCAAGTCCATAATATGGCAAGAACAGCTCAAATAACGACAGTCCATCATTACTTTAAGACATGAAGGTCAGTCAATCCAGAACATTTCAAGAACTTTGAAAGTTTCTTCAAGTGCAGTCACAAAAACCATCAAGTGCTATGATGAAACTGGCTCTCATGAGGACCGCCACAGGAAAGGAAGACCCAGAGTTACCTCTGCTGCAGTGGATAAGTTCATTAGAGTTACCAGCCTCAGAGATTGCAGCGCAAATAAATGCTTCACAGAGTTCAAATAACAGACATCTCAATATCAACTGTTCAGAGGAGACTGCGTGAATCAGGCCTTCATGTTCGAATTGCTGCAAAGAAACCACTACTAAAGGACACCAATAATAAGAAAGTCACAATTGCTTGGGCCAAGAAACACGAGCAATGGACATTAAACCGGTGGAAATGTGTCCTTTGGTCTGATGAGTCAAAATGTGAGATTTTTGGTTCCAACCGCTGTGTCTTTGTGAGACGCAGAGTAGGTGATCTCCGCATGTGTGGTTCCCACCGTGAAGCATGGAGGAGGTGGTGTGATGGTGTGGGGGTGACACTGGTGACACTGTGGGTGATTTATTTAGAATTCAAGGCACACTTAACCAGCATGGCTACCACAGCATTCTGCAGCGATACGCCATCCCATCTGGTTTGCGCTTAGTGGGACTATCTATTGTTTTTCAACAGGACAATGACCCAACACACCTCCAGGCTGTGTAAGGGCTATTTGACCAAGAAGGAGAGTGATGGAGTGCTGCATCAGATGACCTGGCCTTCACAACCACCCGACCTCATCCCAATTGAGATGGTTTGGGATGAGTTGGACCGCAGAGTGAAGGAAAAGCAGACATCAAGTGCTCAGCATATGTGGGAACTCCTTCAAGACTGTTGGAAAAGCATTCCAGGTGAAGCTGGTTGAGAGAATGCCAAGAGTGTGCAAAGCTGCCATCAAGGCAAAGGGTGGCTACTTTGAAGAATCTAAAATCTAAAATATATTTTGATTTGTTGAACACTTTTTTTGGTGTTATTTCATTGTTTTGATGTCTTCACTATTATTCTACAATGTAGAATAATATGTAGAATAGTAAAAATAAAGAAAAACCCTTGAATGAGTAGGTGTGTCCAAACGTTTGACTGGTACTGTACCTGTGACCTTCGGTTCTGCCCTTTTGCACGGACCACTTTTGGAATAGAGTGAGTGTGTCAGAAGTTTCATAAAGCTGTCTTCTCCCCTTCATCTACACTGATTGAAGTGGATTTAACAAGTGACATCAATAAGGGATCATAGCTTTCACCTGGATTCACCTGGTCAGTCTATGTCATGGAAAGAGCAGGTGTTCTTGTTTGAGCAGCCACCTGATTTTCTGATGAAGCGTAATTTCCCGACTTTTTTTAGTCATGTGATTCATGGTTTAACTTCTCCAAATCAAGTCAGTATGGTATTCATTTAGTTTGGGTGAAGAATGTCTCATGGCAACCAGTATGACGGTGCCACGTTGAAAGTCACTGAGCTCTTCAGTAAGGCCAGTGTGCTATAGGACGGTATGGTTTTCGGTTCCTTCTGCTGCATATGTCGTCCATCCCTCAGTTAGATGGTCAAGGTGACATGCTGGGTGACTTCTCTGTCGACACCAAGCGACTGGTCTACTGATTGTGTTTGTGTTATGGTCAGTCCACCTCCGCTCTCTCCTGGGATCGATGTGCTCAATACATACACTACATGACCAAAAGTATGTGGACACCTGCTCGTCGAACATCTCATTCCAAAATCATGGGCATTAATATGGAGTTGGTCCCCCCCTTTGCTGTTATAACAGCCTCCACTCTTCTGGGAAGGCTTTCCACTAGATGTTGGAACATTGCTGCGGGGACTTGCTCCCATTCAGCCACAAGAGCATTAGTGAGGTCAGGCACTGATGTTGGGCGATTAGGCCTGGCTCGCAGTCGGCGTTACAATTCATCCCAAAGGTGTTCAATGGGGTTGAGGTCAGGGCTCTGTCCAGGCCAGTCAAGTTCTTCCACACCGATCTCGACAAACCATTTCTGTATGGACCTCGCTTTGTGCACGGGGGCATTGTCATGCTGAAACAGGACAGGGCCTTTCCCAAACTGTTGCCACAAAGTTGGAAGCACAGAATCGTCTAGAATGTCATTGTATGCTGTAGCGTTAAGATTTCCCTTCACTGGAACAAAGGGGCCTAGCCCAAATCATGAAAAACAGCCCCAGACCATTATTCCTCCTCCACCAAACTCTACAGTTGGCACTATGTATTCGGGCAGGTAGCATTCTCCTGGCATCCGCCAAACCCAGATTTGTCATTTGGACTGCCAGATGGTGAAGCGTGATTCATCACTCCAGAGAACGTGTTTCCACTGCTCCAGAGTCCAATGGCGGCGAGCTTTACATCACTCCAGCCAATGCTTGACATTGCGCATGGTGATCTTAGGCTTGTGTGCGGCTGCTCGGCTATGGAAACCCATTTCATGAACTCCCGACGAACAGCTCTTGTGCTAACGTTGCTTCCAGAGGCAGTTTGGAACTTCAGCACTCGGTCCTGTTCTGTGAGCTTGTGTGGCCTACCACTTCACGGCTGAGCTGTTGTTGCTCCTAGACGTTTCCACTTCACAATAACAGCACTTACAGTTGACCAGGGCAGAGATTTGACAAACTGAGTTGTTGGAAATGTGCCATCCTATGACGGTGCCACGTTGAAAGTCACAGCTCTTCAGTACGGGCCATTCTACTGCCAATGTTTGTCTATGAAGATTGCATGGCTGTGTGCTCAATTTTATACACGTGTGTGGCTGAAATAGCCGAATCCACTAATTTGAAGGGGTATCCACATACTTTTGGCCACATAGTGTATGTACGTAATTAAGGTTTGAGTACACATAGTACACTAAAAATACACTTAACTACAAGAGCCATAGTGCTACAGTACCGTGTACAGTACATATAAAATGACAAAGAAAGCCATAACGTATAACCAATAATTATCTTCATACAATCGTTCCCAGTACTGTTCAGCTCCTCCAAAATGTGATATCTGAGTGACCAGGGGACAGAAGGACACAGGAACAAAGGACAGTATGACGAACAGCAGCTATAAATACAGGGCTGTGAGGGGAGAGACAATCACCTGACCTGATTAATCTCTCAATTTCTGTGGTTCCATCAGGACGCCCCACAGGTAGGGAGACGTGTGTGTGTGTGTGTGTCTGTGTGTACTACTGATGGGATTAGGATCCAAGGGCTTCAAAGGACCAACACACACACTCAGTTGTTCATTGAGGACGAGACAGCCGTAGCTAACCTGAGGTACTCCTCTGTGTCCTGAGTTCCATCTCTACGCTATGATGGCCACTATAGTGGAGGCTGCCGTAGCACATGGCGAGAAGCTAGGATGTTGAGAGTAGAACTACATTTCTAAAGGGAGATTATAGATATGATCATATAGACCATACATACAGTACACATTCATGAGCCATTCATTGTATGTGTCATACAGGCACAGTATGTACAGAGCCTTTAGAAAGTATTCACACCCCTTGACTTTTTCCACATTTTGTTGTGTTACAGCCTGAATTTAAAATGGAGTAAATTGAGATTTTTTTGTCACAATACCCCATAATGTCAAAGTGGAATTATGTTTTCAAAATGTTTACAAAGTTATGAAAAATGAAAAGCTGAAATGTCTTGAGTCAGTAAGTATTCCACTCCTTTGTTATGGCAAGCCTAAATAAGTTCAGGAGTAAAAATGTGCTTAACAAATCACATAATAAGTTGCATGGACACACTGTGTGCAATAATAGTGTTTAACATGATTTTTGAATGACTATCTCATCTCTATACCCCACACATATAATTATCTGTAAAGTCCCTCAGTCGAGCAGTGAATTTCAAACACAGATTCAACCACAAAGACCAGGAAGGTTTTCCAATGCCTTGCAAAGAAGGGCACCTATTGGTAGATGGGTAAAAAAAAAAGCAGACATTGAATATCCCTTTTAGCATGGTGAAGTTATTAATTACACTTTGGACAGTGTATCAATGTACCCAGTCACTACAAAGATATAGGCGTCCTTTCTAAATCAGTTGCTGGAGAGGAATTAAACCGCTCAGGGATTTCACCATGAGGCCAATGCTGACTTTAAAAAACAGTTACAGAGTTTAATGGCTGTGATAGGAGAAAACGGAGGATGGATCAACAACATTGTAGTTACTCCACAATACGAACCTAATTGACAGAGTGAAAAGAAGGAAGCCTTTACAGAATAAAAATATTCCAAAACATGCATCCCAATTGCAACAAGGCACTAAAGTGATCCTGCATAAAATGTGGCAAAGCAATTCACTTTTTGTCCTGAATACAAAGTGTTGTGTGTTGTATTGGATTTGTGCCAAACATATTACTGAGTACCACTCTCCATATTTTCAAGCATAGTGGTGGCTGCATCATGTTATGGGTATGTTTGTAATCATTAAGGACTGGGGAGTTTTTCAAGATTAAAAAATAAATGTAACGGAGCTAAGCACAGGCAAAATCCTAGAGCAAAACCTTGTTCAGTCTGCTTTCCACTAGACACTGGGAAATTCATTCAACTTTCAGCAGGACAATAACCTAAAACACAAGTCCAAATCTACACTGGAGTTGCTTACCAAGAAGACAGTGAATGTTCCGGAGTGGTCGAGTTAGTTTTGACTTAAATCTACTTGAAAATCTATGGCAAGACCTGAAAATGGTTGTTTATCAATGATCAACAACCGATTTGACAGAGCTCAACATTTTTTAAAAAGAATAATGGGCAAATGTTGCACAATCCAGTCGTGCAAAGCTCTTAGAGACTTACCCAGAATGACTCACATCTGTAATCGCTGCCAAAGGTGCTTCTACAAAGTATGGACTCAGGGGTGTGAATACTTATGTAAATGAAATAATTCTGTATTTCATTTTCAATAAATGAGCAAACATTTCTAAAAACATGTTTTCACTTTGTCATTATGGGGTATTGTGTGCAGATGGGTGAGAAAAAACATCAATTTAATCAATTTTGAATTTAGGCTGGAACAAAATGTGGAATAAGTCAAGGGGTATGAATCTTTTCTGAAGGCACTGTAGCTACAGAGAGTAAGAGAGGACACAACTTGCCGTTGGTAAGTCTGTAGGATAGAAACTGGCCAGTCTGCTGTATCGAGAGATGGATGTAATGTTGAGTTACTGATTGGCAAAGTGTTGATGTGTGTTTGTATGTGCCAATGTGTATGTGCCAATGTGTATGTGCCAATGCGTAAGTGCCAATATGTTCCAATGCGTGTGTACAGGGGCAAAGATCAGAGGGAGCAGATGGTGATGAGATGAAGAATTCACATCACTGAAAAAAAACACACGGTCTTGCTGGTTTTATCCATGTACAGTCAAACAATTTTGCAAGCCTTTTGTAAGCCTTCAGCAGAGTCCACCCCAAATCATTTTTCAACTCAGAAAACTGTTCTCCACCTTCCCCCCATTCTTCCCCCTCCTCATAACGTGCAGCTGAAAATATTAAAATAAGATCAGCTTCAATATTGCAGATAGAGTTGGGGTTCTATCAAACTAATTGTTTGCAGCATTTCTAATCCCCCTTTTATTATTATCTTTTCCCCCAACCCTACCACCCTATTGATTGAAATATGATTATATACTGAGTATACAAAACATTAACAACAGGAGACAGGTTAAAGAAGGATTTTTAAGCCTTGAAACAATTGAGACATGGATTGTGTATGTGTGGCATTCAGAGAGTGAATGGGCAAGACAAAATATTGAAGTGCCTTTGAACGGGGTATGGTATTAGGTGCGAGGCGTACCGGTTTGTGTCAAGAACTGCAACGCTGCTGGGTTTTTCACGCTCAACAGTTTCCCGTACGTATCAAGAATGGTCCACCACCCAAAGGACATCCAGCCAACTTGACACAACTGTGGGAAGCATTGGAGTCAACATGGGCCAGCATCCCTGTATAACACTTTCGACACCTTGTAGAGTCCATGCCCCGACGAATTGAGGCTGTTCTGAAGGCAAAAGCGTTCCCAACCAATGTTCCCTCTCATTTTTTCATCCTAATGTTTGGTATACTCAGTGTATATGATTTTATAAGATTAAAATAACTTTAGGCCTGTGCGGCACTTCATCAATATTCATAGTATTATTAACGCCAAGTCGAAATAAAACAAAACATACTTTGAGTGATTCCACAAAGACTCCCTTCTTTAGGGACCTTACTATTCCAAAATGGTGGCCAAAAATGACCAACACCCCAACCTCCTCCCTTCAACTCTCTCCTGGGACCCTGAACTTCATTCCCCACTCTAGAGTTCCATTATCCTGCCCCTGTGTGTGAATGCCACGTGCCTAGTTATTTCCATACTGCAACAGTGTGTAACATTAGCTGTGAGTGTTCATCACCACTCGTTTTATTAAATGTGAATGAGGAGCTGAGAGGCCGTGTATACCAGGGTCACACCTTGATGCACTCAGCGAGCATTAGTCAAATGACTTACAATCCTTATTGTAATGCGAACCAATGAACAACATGGAAAGATTTGTTGGACATGGTGTTCAAGAACGAACAGTTTTGTTTCAGCGTGTTTTAGAGGTGAAATGGTTTTAATTTGAAGGGTCTCTGATGTTGGGTGGTGAGAGAAAAATAAATACAATGTTTTATTGTCACACACCAGATAGGTGCAGTGAAATGTGTTGTTTTACAGAGTCAGCCATAGTAGTACAGCAGCCCTGGAGCACATTAGGTTTAAGTGCCTTGCTCAAGGGTACATCAACAGATTTTTCACCTTGTCATGAGGTCATTAGCGTGCCTTTCTCACCTAGCAGGCTCCAGTTGACAGAGTCCATTCAGAACATCACCCTAATAGTGACTATGGGACGGCCTGTCCCCGTCTTCCTAACAGGTCTTCAGGACAGGACGTCTTCCATCATCCTTATCAACATCATCATTACAGAGAAAAGGATCACAATCATACAGACTGACTGACTGGCTGGCTGACTGGCTGGTTGACTGGGCGATCATCAGTTTCGTTTGTCTCACAGGGACCACTTTCAATGTGACATAATGAAACGTGTCACCGTCATGATTAGACGATTTGGGCAGTTTTGTGTCAGTAGGTCAGAAGCTCACAGGGGTTGAAATTCAATACCCAGTGTGACGGCAGTGTGAAGATCAATCTTTTCTGCATACAGTCAATCATCAAACACCTGTCAACCTGACTCAGTCTCACAGGAAGCACCTCTTTTTCACGGTGTGTGTGTGTCTCACCTCTCATATATGAGCATGTCCTCCTCGGCAGGGAACACGGCCAGGTTGAGTCCATAGGTTTCCCTCATGGACTGTTGCAGGAAGTCCTGTGTAGGGGCAGGGGTCAAATGTTAGAGGTCAAAAGGTTAGAGCGAGGTGAGAGGTAATGGTGAGGAGTGGGATAAAAGGTGGTAAGAGAAAGGAGACAGTCATCCTGAACAACTCCGACTATACTTCCTCAAGCTCTCTCCAACTGTACTGTGCAACCGTTCAGCTTGTACCCCCCTTCCTCTAACCAGGGACCAAACCTGAGGAAAACATATCAACACATCCTTCCCTCTTGAGAAACACTAGACGTGGGAAGTGTAGTTTACTGTGGGAGGTGTGCTTTGTAGTCTGCAGGGAGTAAATAGATGGTTTTCAGCAAACAAAGCCACATAGAAAAACTACAGACTGGAACGCCTGTGATTGTCACCACAAGAGACTAGGGTGAGAATGAATACTAACAACAATAAGGATGAAGTGTACATCCATCTTCTGTCCCTACATAACGTGGATGGTCCAGAAGTGGTTAAGTAACAGCAGTAGCCTTTGAAGCACTCTTCTGCTCTGAGGCGATGGGACAGCGCTATGTCCAACACAATGCACTTCATTTCCATTCAAAGGCTATGGATTCAGCCTGCCGCCATGGATTGTGCCCAAGAGAAGAGAGAACTGGAGGGAGGTGGAGGGATACAACCAAATACAAGATAATGAAGCTTTGCAAACACACACACACACAGAGAGGGAATATTGAATTAGTGTGTCTAATTACACGGCAAGCAGCAAGGTAATGATCAGTTGTTTAAATATTTTATCAGTTTTGCATTTTCTGCCGCCACAGCAATCCATTCTCTGGGACAGACTAGCAGGCAGCAACACGAGACACGTGTGTGTATGTGCCGACACGTGAGCTAATCGCTAACCTTCTACCCCGATATATTCATGACCCCCTCCCTGCTACCAACTCCAGGTCAAAGAAAAGGGAGAAAACATATAGCTGAGGGAAACATGTTATAAATCAACCCTGATGGAGAAAACAGTACTGGAGTTAATGGATATTTACAAAAATAGATATTTTATTCAATGTTTTTTGCCTCTTGTTATCAAAAGCAATCAGTGTGGCTGTTACTGGGGATGTGAGGATGAGTGAGTCTGGCTAGAAAGACTCAGGTGGGAGGGGAGAGGATGAATCAGAAAACACAAAGCAGCATGTGAATGAACATATAAACATATAGAGGTATATGGACATCTAAAAGCATGTGAATGAACATATAAACATATAGAGGTATATGGACATCTAAAAGCATGTGAATGAACATGTAAGAGAAAATAAAAGGGGTCAGCGGAGGAGGGTAATCTCTTTCTTTCTCTCTCGCTCAGTCTCTCTCTCTAGCCTGCTCTCTCCCTGGCTCCTGTCCTTTCTCGATCTCTCATCACGTGTAGACGGGCAGAGAAGAGGAGAGAGCTTACCTCTGTGGTATCTTCTGTTTAGACAGTATGAGATGGCCCTTAACCAGAACACTTCACTCAAGAATGTAAACGGAGGAAGAAATTACCCACAAGCCCTCAGCTGGCACCGGAAGCCATCTTGTGTGGCGGCCTGGCAGCACACGAAAAACAAAAACTTTATTCACCACCACCGACCTCGTCGCTACTTCACACAATGAGGGTCTAGTCGGTCAAAGAGACCCCAAACAGCATCTGGGTTACCATCGCCGCAGACAACATCAAATGTGGCACACAATAGTCTCATTATGGCAACAGATTGAGGACAATTGGGTTTTTGGGCACGGCATGACATTTTTATGGGTCCCGGTGTACGTCACTGGGCTTGGCTGTCGATTACTCTGTCTCTTTCAAGTGGCCTATTTTTCTATTTTTTACCTCTGTCCATCCATTTTATTTATGTGTTTGTTGTATTTTATTTTCCGGCAGAGTAGAATTGGCGGTCGTCATAAAACATACAGGAGGCAACCATCTGAGCGGGGAGGGCGGGCAGGAGATGGACAGAAGGTGGGAATGACCGTGGAGGACGGTTCAGTAACTGGACATGGAGAGATAAGTTGAGAGATGAGTTGAGACAAAGCTACCATAAACCTACCCAGTCTATGATTGACAAACAGAGATATCAGATATGAACTCAGCGGAAGGGGCCATTCCAAACCAACTGACCTAAAGGATGGCAGAATGTGTTGTGTTGTCTCTCTCACAGGGAAAAGTACTGTGAGCCATTAATTAATTAACTACGTCCAAGTCATCCACTTCGTTAGGATGGTCAGTTCAATGCAATTCATGAGTTGGTAATTGCTCCCCATCTTCCCCAGTTAATTTCCAGACCTGAATGAGCTCCAATGGAATCTACACACATCTTACTCCCAATCTAAATAGCCCTTTTACGGTAGCACTCACATGAGGTCTTATTTCCTACCATAGTCTCTTAATGGACAGTGGTACTACCACCTGGGTACCAGTCCAACAGTATGTCTTCGTCCCAAATGGCATCCTATTGCCTTTGTAGTGCACTACTGTTGAAAAGGGCCATTGGCCTCTGGTCAAAATGGTGTGTTCTGACTGAGGCTGGCATCATAGGGCTAAAGCCCAGCTCCGCTTCTATGTTATCCTATTCAAATTCAAACCTCCATTGCCTTCCCTCAGCTCTCTCGCTTGCTCACTAAGGAGAATATTCAACCAGTCCAGTTGTCATGGCAACACAGAGAGAGACCTTGAGTCACAAGCGAGAGATGAGATCCCCTGTTTTTGTTGTGAAGTGTGTGTGTGTGTGTGTGTGTGTGTGTGTGTGTGTGTGTGTGTGTGTGTACATGAACATGGATCAGTCTCATTTATTTATTTTATTCACGCTAATATAATCATTATGCTACAAGGTGTTAGACCGGTGGATAATGTTAATGATAGAACACAATATCAGCTGCGGTGGTATGTTAGTCTTCAACATTCTGCTCTACAGTCTATAAAGCCAAACCATCCAAAACCATCAGTGTCCTGGGGAGTTCAATCAAACCATTATAAGAATTCAAACTGTGTCATGATTAATACACTTTTGATTAGATCTTACAAAACAGATCTAATATGTAGGCCATGTTATGTTTTCTTTGAATTCCTCATCTCTGAATGATTATGTGATTATTGTGATCATCTCTATGGATAGGGGTGAAATTAATGTGGCGTGGGTGGCCGCAAGTTCTCAAACAATAACTCAGAACTCTGAAAGGTCAACTCTGTGAGTGAGAGGGGGAGAGATGGTAAGTGAGAGGAGGAGAGAGGGAGACAGAGAGAGACAGATGGGAGGATCGAGAGACATAGATGGGAAGGAGAGGGAATGAGAGAGGGCCAGTTAGCGAGAGAGAAACAGAGACAAGTAATTATGTTCTGAACAAGTGAGGAGAAACAGGAGAGCGCTACCTAACACTGAAAATCTTTTTTTAAATTGACACAGAATGACTTTTTGATCCCGACAGCAGAACGCAGGATGAAAACACTGAAATCTTCACCTTCAGTTAGCACCTTCACTCCCAAGGTCCAGTTGGCATGTCAGCTGACATTTAACTCAGCTGGCTACCTGTGTGTGTGTCTGTGTCAGCGCGTTTCCCATCCCATACCTCCTGAGTGCGGAGGCTCTCCCCAGACTCAGCCAGTAGTTTGACGGGGGTGGAGCGTTGGGACACTGATCCATCATCGTCGCGGTCGTCCTCCGAGTCGTCCTCTGAGCTGCTGGAGATCTGTTCTTCGCTGGGGGGTGGGGGGGCACTGGCAGCTGTCTTCCTCTGGACCACCGTCTCCTCTTTACTGCTCTTAGCACTACACACACACACACACACACACACACGCACTTACATTTTAGTCATTTAGCAGACACACTTATCCAGAGCGACTTACAATTAGTGCCTTCATCTTGCCTAACCTCTCTCTCTCTGCCCTCCCCCTACAGGAGGACAGAGGATAGTAGAGGGAGGGCAGACAGAGAGAGTGATGTTAGGCAGGAGGACACAGGGGAGTAGGGGTAGTAGGGGGAGGGCAGAGAGAGAGAGATTGAGGTTAGGCAGGAGGTCATTGGAGAGTAGGGGGAGGGCAGAGAGAGAGACTGGGTGTAATCTAAGCTTTGTCCTCTCTCTACAACGGATGGACACAACTCCAATCTGGAAGCCTACATAACACTCCAGTAGAGAATGATACCGGACACTCAATCATTCATTCATTAAAAGGTGGTGCTTTGGTAAATAACTCAATAAACAGCCATTGACTGGTTAACAGTAATGAGTAATACATGCCCTTTTCAGGAGTTCAATATTCATACAAAAACCCAGAGTTGCTCAACAACTAGGTGTTATTGAAGGTTTTCAAGAAGGTAAAGAGGTGGTGTGTGTGTGTGTGTGTGTGTGAGAGCTCATATGAGTCAGCTAATGGAAGATGAGTGTCTTGGTTTTGGCCCATGGCTCTCAGATACACGTGTAGAGACACAGAAATATACAAATGCAAATAAACAACACCTGTGCACACACACACACACACACACACGAGGCCACACACACACACGAGGCCACACACACACACGAGGCCACACACACACACGAGCGAACAAAGAGAAGCGCACATACGAGCGCACATACACGCAGAGTAGAGTACACTCACCCAATCACAGCAGATTTCCCTGTCTCCTCTGGCTTGCGCACAGTGAAGGGGCTGGGGTCAACTCCTACTGTCTTGGGCATCAACTCCCTTCACACACAGAGAGAACATAATCACCACATTATCATCCCAGGAAAAACACATCACAGTTAACCTCATCTCTGCACCCAGAACCAAATCTCTCTTGTCTCTCTGCAGCAGACATATGGTGAGTATACCAAACATTAGGAACACCTTCCAAATATTGTAGTTGCACCCCACCCCTTCCCTTTTGCCCACAGAACAGCCTCAATTCGTCAGGGCATGGACTCTACAAGGTGTAAAGAGCGTTCCACAGGGATGCTGGTCCATGTTGACTCCAATGCTTCCTACAGTTGTGTCAAGTTGGCTGGATGTCCTTTGGGTGGTGAACCATTCTTGATACACACAGGAAACTGTTGAGCATGAAAAACCCAGCAGTGTTGCAGTCTTGACACACAAGTGTGCCTGGCACCTACTATCATATCCCGTTCAAAGGCCGTCTTGCCCATTCACCCTCTGAATGGCACATATACACAATCCATGTCTCAATTATCTCAGGCTTAAAAATACTTCCTTCACCTGTCTCTTCCCCTTCAATACTTTCTGAAGGCACTGTATATAATACCTTCATTGTCAATTTACAATTATATTATTTTTGCTCAGGCCAGTATTCAGACATCTCATTGTATGAAACTAAAAAGCAACATGGTTAGCTTGCCATGACCCAGTAGATATTGATGTAACTGTGTGCAGGTTCGGGTACGTACCGTGCAGAGTTGGTCATAGCTATGCAGAAGGTGTCGTCGAATGAGGTGAGTTCGTAGGGTTTAAAGAACTCTGTGTAGGTATCGATGCTCTCGTCGTAACGGTTCACTCTCCTCACCCCTACCTTCTTCATATTCTCCTCACAGGGAACTGGAAACACACACACTGATTAGGACACACATGCTAACACACACATATTAGGACACATCACACTAACATATTGTACATACGACACACGCCACGTGCTCATATCCTCATACTGTACACACAATCACACACACCGTGAAATGAGTGAAGAGTATACCATTTTTATTTATGTCGGTCATGATTTTGGCTTTGAGACAAACTTTACTTTCCAACCCAGATGTGTGTGTGATTGAATAGATACCTTCATCATATGGCAGAGGCAGGTAGGATAAGATCCCCTCCGACCACCAGTATGTATAGCTAGAGAGAAACACACAACAAGGATTAGCTAACAGCTTTCAACATGATGATAAATGTCTTAAGGGTTGTATTCTCTACCTTCACAACACCAATGAATACCGTACTTCCATAACCCAGATATGAAACTAGGATTCAGCTCGACAACAGCCTAACAACTAATACAACATCGCTTTTACTCAATGAAGTCCAATTTGTGCAAATAAATACAGCAATTATAGGGAGCTGTGTGGCTGGTTAAGAGGAAAAGGACTGTCTGACTGCAGATTTGATTTCTTATGATAATAACGGAGCCATCTTGGCCTTTGTAACTGAATGATGGAGTGGCCACAGCAATCTGGGTCTGTCATTATGACAGCAGCACAACCACAAAGGAGGCAGCCAGCCCAGCATGAAGACAGATCTGGGTCAGAACATACGAGAAGAAAGAAAGAAAAAGAAAGAAAGAAAAAGAGAGAAAGAGAAAGAGAAAGAGAAAGAGAAAGAGAAAGAGAAAGAAAGAGAGAGAGAGAGAGAGAAGAGCTCAGCTACCCGACCCCAGCCAGATGGGCCCCGACATTATACATCAGGTTAGGGCCGTGTAGGGTCTGTTTCTTCATCAATTACTAGGGTACGGGTAGAGCTCGGGTATCACTAAATTGATCACTAACATTTTGAAGCTGAGCCATAGTCATATCTGACTAAGATCATAGCATGGTGTCAGAAGTGCTTCAACCTCGTCAAATATAAGACAGGAGAGATTATTTAACAGAAAATAATAATGTTCCTTGAGCTGTCTGAGTTTAGAATGATGAAAAGTAGCTAACAGCTAACTGCTCTCATGTCTCTTCATTGAGCAGAGCAGCCCAAGAGGAGCCATTGCTATGGACACTCAAGACTCAGAGCCGCCATGAGCAGAGCGCATGCAGAGTGAGCAGCGCTCAGGGAGCGAGTGACAGACAGAGAGGAGCAGCTAATGGATTTACTAACGGAGGAAGTTATTTCTGATTTCGGGCAGGGCCTTAAATTTGGCAATCAGGCCTGGGTAGGATAGGGCCTGAACATTGCGGGCATGGGAAGGGGTCGGCTGAAAATTCATGCCTGTGCAGGGCTCTAAGAGCGAGATGGTGGAGAGGGCGTTAAATAAAAAAATTAAGAATGAGAGAGAGAGAGAGAGAGAGAGAGAGAGAGAGAGAGAGAGAGAGAGAGAGAGAGAGAGAGAGAGAGATAGACAGGAGAGATCTTCGCTTATTCGCTAGAGTCGAGAGCTCGAGAGAGAGAGAGAGAGCGATCAGAGAGTGAGAGAGAGAGAGTCCAGAGAGAGCCGATCGCTGCGGGCGAGAGATTTCACCAACAGAAAGAAAGAGATGGAGAAGAGAGACAGTTTATTATAACACATTTTAAAGAAAGGCACAGCAGTGGGGTCAAATATGGGTAAGAACCAGGAGAAAAGCAAAAAGACGAGAGAGAGAGAGAGAGGGAGAGAGGGAGAGAGAGACTTAGCCAGAAGACGAAGGTGATAAAGAGTGAGAGAAAAGACAGTGGGATAGAGGCTGGGGTTACAGTGAGGGTAAGTGGAGGGGGATAACTGTCTCCTGTTAGCACACAGTAGAGGAGATAGACAGCTGAGGCAGCCATAACTTACAGTATTGAAAAGAGATGAAACATTTGCCCTCTCCTTGCTGTGAATAAAACCTCTCTAGACTCACCACAGCATGTGTAAAGTGATCCTTTGTCCGGTCAGAAACTCACATACAGTGGTGGTGGTGGGGACAGAGCTTTCTTTCTACACAGAGGTAAATGTATGCACTCACGTGCGCTCTCAGGCAACACACACACACACACTCAGACAAGCTTGGACACATACACACACTGCTGTTCTGCAGGTAAGCCCTCTGCTGTAAAAGCTGTTACAGAAACACAGGTGCAGCTGGTAATCTTGTCTAAGTGATCTCCCACCAGGCATTTCAGTGTGTGTGTGTGTACGCATCTGCCGTGGTGTGTGTTATAAAAACAAGGAGTCGCACACTCCATATGTATAACCTCCCAGTAATGTATTAGGTACCTGCGCCTGTCGTGGGCCAGTGCCATAGAGTTCCTCTGGTGCAGGTAGAAGTCAGTGGGCAGCTCCCAGAGGTGAGGCTTAGACTCTGACGGCTGGTACACCTGCAGAAACAGGTTGATGGCATCCTGCCGGTCTGCATCTGAGAGAGCGAGAGAGCGTCATAGAGAGACAGAAGAAGAGAGAGAGAAGAGACGATAAGCACAAGACCGAGGTGTAACAGGAAGTAAATGTATCCTCTGTCCACATCACTAAGGAATTAACACGGCCCACACAGTTGTGAAGACGGCACGACAGTGCCTCTTCCCCCTCAGGAGGCTGAAAAGATTTGGCATGGGCCCTCAGATCCTCAAAAAGTTATACGGCTGCACCATTGAGAGCATCTTGACTGTCTGCATCACCGCTTGGTATGGCAACTGCAAGGCACCCGACCGCAAGGCGCTACAGAAGGTGGTCAATACGGCCCAGTACATCACTGGGGCCGAGCTCCCTGCCATCCAGGATCTCTATACCAAGCAGTGTTAGAGGAAGGCCCAAAAAATGGTCAGACTGCAGCCACCGAAGCCATTGACTGTTCTCTCTGCTACCGCACGGCAAGCGGTACCAATGGACCAAGTCTGGAACCAACAGGACCCTGAACAGCTTCTACCCCCAAGCCATAAGATTGCTAAACAAGACTGCTAAATAGCTAATCAGATGGCTACCCACTGCTGCTACTGTCTATTATCTATCTTGTTGCCTAGTCACTACTATTTCTATTGTTATTACAACTCTGCGTTGTTAAAAAAGTACCCGTAAGTAAGCATTTCACTGTTAGTCTACGCCTGTGACAAATAACATTTGATTTGTAAATGTTCTATAGTAACAGGAAGGAAATGTTCTATAGTAACAGGGAGGAAATGTTCTATAGTAACAGGGAGGAAATGTTCTATAGTAACAGGGAGGAAATGTTCTATAGTAACAGGGAGGAAATGTTCTATAGTAACAGGGAGGAAATGTTCTATAGTAACAGGAGGAAATGTTCTATAGTAACAGGACAGGGAGGAAATGTTCTATAGTAACAGGGAGGAAATGTTCTATAGTAACAGGGAGGAAATGTTCTATAGTAACAGGGAGGAAATGTTCTATAGTAACAGGGAGGAAATGTTCTATAGTAACAGGGAGGAAATGTTCTATAGTAACAGGGAGGAAATGTTCTATAGTAACAGGGAGGAAATGTTCTATAGTAACAGGGAGGAAATGTTCTATAGTAACAGGGAGGAAATGTTCTATAGTAACAGGGAGGAAATGTTCTATAGTAACAGGGAGGAAATGTTCTATAGTAACAGTGAGGAAATGTTCTATAGTAACAGGGAGGAAATGTTCTATAGTAACAGGGAGGAAATGTTCTATAGTAACAGGGAGGAAATGTTCTATAGTAACAGGGAGGAAATGTTCTATAGTAACAGGGAGGAAATGTTCTATAGTAACAGGGAGGAAATGTTCTATAGTAACAGGGAGGAAATGTTCTATAGTAACAGGGAGGAAATGTTCTATAGTAACAGGGAGGAAATGTTCTATAGTAACGGGAGGAAATGTTCTATAGTAACAGGGAGGAAATGTTCTATAGTAACAGGGTGGAAATGTTCTATAGTAACAGGGAGGAAATGTTCTATAGTAACAGGGAGGAAATGTTCTATAGTAACAGGGAGGAAATGTTCTATAGTAACAGGGAGGAAATGTTCTATAGTAACAGGGAGGAAATGTTCTATAGTAACAGGGAGGAAATGTTCTATAGTAACAGGGAGGAAATGTTCTATAGTAACAGGGAGGAAATGTTCTATAGTAACAGGGAGGAAATGTTCTATAGTAACAGGGAGGAAATGTTCTATAGTAACAGGGAGGAAATGTTCTATAGTAACAGGGAGGAAATGTTCTATAGTAACAGGGAGGAAATGTTCTATAGTAACAGGGAGGAAATGTTCTATAGTAACAGGGAGGAAATGTTCTATAGTAACAGGGAGGAAATGTTCTATAGTAACAGGGAGGAAATGTTCTATAGTAACAGGGAGGAAATGTTCTATAGTAACGGAGGAAATGTTCTATAGTAACAGGGAGGAAATGTTCTATAGTAACAGGGTGGAAATGTTCTATAGTAACAGGGTGGAAATGTTCTATAGTAACAGGGAGGAAATGTTCTATAGTAACAGGGAGGAAATGTTATATAGTAACAGGGAGGAAATGTTCTATAGTAACAGGGAGGAAATGTTCTATAGTAACAGGGAGGAAATGTTCTATAGTAACAGGGAGGAAATGTTCTATAGTAACTGGGAGGAAATGTTCTATAGTAACAGGGAGGAAATGTTCTATAGTAACAGGGTGGAAATGTTCTATAGTAACAGGGAGGAAATGTTCTATAGTAACAGGGTGGAAATGTTCTATAGTAACAGGGAGGAAATGTTCTATAGTAACAGGATGGAAATGTTCTATAGTAACAGGGAGGAAATGTTATATAGTAACAGGAAGGAAATGTTCTATAGTAACAGGAAGGAAATGTTCTATAGTAACAGGGAGGAAATGTTCTATAGTAACAGGGAGGAAATGTTCTATAGTAACAGGAAGGAAATGTTCTATAGTAACAGGAAGTAATTGTTCTATAGTGTTGGTCAGTTGAGCCTCTGCTGTG